AGTAAAATTTAACGAGTTAATTAAGAATCCCGAGTAAATTCAGGGATTTAGCTTAGGGATTGAGCGTAGGGTTTTGCCTTATCAAAATACATTTCTAAAGCAACAAATGAACCCTAGCTTATGTAATCGTTTGCAAAGGTTCTAGAAGCCAAGCTTGTTGCCAAAATGAAAGTGAACATAGCTTTGTAATCGTGAATCGTTATTGTAATTGGCTTGCATCCCTCTTCCAAAAATCTCGTTTAATCAAAAGAATTGCTTATTCAATTCAAAGGGTTTACGACCCTTAAACCGGTAGACTAGCCAAAGAATAAAGCAATATATACATGATTTGCTCAAAAAATCAAATGGACGAAGGCCACTTTTTTTTTTTAAAAAAAGGCTTAAGCAGGTTCCAAAGAAGAAAGCTCACAGACTTAAGTAAAAATTTAATTTCATGCTTTACCGAAAGAACAAGTTAATTAAAGCTCGCAGACTTGATAAGGGTTTAACAAAGAGAACTAGACACTGCAAATAGAGGGAAAAAGTGAAACGAAACGAAACAATAATTTCTCAAAGAAAATAAAGTTCTCAGATTTCCACCCAAAAGAATCCATTGATTCAAGCACATGGTTTAATAATAGGTTCAATAAAATAATAATAATAATAATAAAAGTTCACCTATATGAAAGAATCACTTAATTGTTAAGATTCAAGAAGCTTAAGATCATGGCCAGAGAATAAAGTGATTACTTACTTTGCTAAATGAACCAACGTACGCAAGGCTTCAAACGTGTTCATTAAGTTTCAAAACACCCAAGCTTGTTGTAGAGCATAAATAGGTTAAATTCCATCTTCATCCAAAGAACGCGTTAATCAAAGATTGGGAGCTTGATAAAGGTTTAAAGAGGAGACAAAGATAAAGCAAAAAAAGATTCAAAAAAAAAAAAAAAAAAAAAAAAAAGGCAAAAGAAATATAGTGGTTACTCTTCTCAATGCTAGTACAGTACAGAACACATTAACACAAAAAACAAGAAAATCACTTTTTCCTAAATATAAAAACTTGATAAAGGTTTCAGAAAGGGACATAGATAAGGCACTAAAAAATAAAATAGAAAAAGATTAGTGAACAAGAACAAAACAATTATTCAAAAGAGTCACATGTGCTTTGGAAAAAGATATCCATTAATTTAAAATGTACTTAATTCAATTATTAATTTATTAATTATTAGTTTAATTTTATTTTAATCTAAAAATTTATTTTTTTAAATGGTTTATAAACTTTAGAGAATATTTCAAAATAATCTATCTTACAAAATTTTATTAGATTAACGGAAAGAATAATCATTTAAATTTTTTTTTAAAAAAATATTTTATAAAAAGATATTTTATAAAGATAGATTAGTTAAAATTTGTAATAAACTTAAACAATTAACTTAATTCAAACAAAAAAACTTGGTAAGTTTAGAACAAGAAGTTTTAAGAGTAAATTTATTTTATAGAACTGACGATATGGCAGATTGTATGTAGTTTGTCTGTAAAATTATTCAAAATTTCCAAAAAAATAATATAAAAATAAAAATAAAAACATTTAAATAATTTTATAAGATAAACTATATATAGTCCACTCTATAAATCAGTTTTTTAAAAAACACATTTAGTAAAATAAAAATAAAAACTATTTTTGCGATGAATATAAATTTAAGGACAAAAAAATCAAAATAAATATAATTAGAGGATTAAATATTTTCTTATTTTAAGAAGATTTCCGTTAAAAATAACAAAACTAGATGAAATTGAAATAAATATGAAAAATAATAGACAAAATTGAAAGAATTCAAAAATAATAAATAAAATTGAAAATAATATAAAAATTAATAGATGATTTATTAAATTAATCCATTTAAAATGTTGGAAGTTTGATGGTGTAGGTTTAGCTGAAAAGCTAAGATTTAACTTGCCAATTCAGTTATAAGAATCTACGACACTAGCCAAAACAATTAGGATTTGCTGAAAACTGTTCATGGTAATTAATTAGGACCCAGAGAGAAAAATGTGATGCTAGGAAGACAACAATAAAAGCAGTAGATCTTTACACCAATTTTTAGAAGCAACCTCGATGTCAAATTAGTCGTTCATGTCCTTGTACCAAGTTAAGAATTACTTTCTAAGTTAATAAAAAATACTTAATCTAAAAGCTTAAATTAATAATCAAAATATGTGGATAATCAAGAAACTTAAGCTAATGTCCAAGAATAAGGTGGTGATGAAAATGCATTTCTAAAGCAACAAATGAACCCTGGCTTACTTATGTAATCATTTGTGAAAGTTCTAGAAGCCAAGCTTGTTGCCAAAAGGAAAGTGAATATATGATTTATAATCAAGAATCGCTTTTGTAATTGCTTTCATCCTTCATCCAAAAAAAGGTTTGCTTAGTCAAATTAAAGAATTGCTCATTACAATTCCAAGGGTACATGATACTTAAGCTGGTAGCCTAGCCAAAGAATAAAGCTATTACTTGGTTTGCTCAAAGAATCAGGTGGACCCAAAGGCCAAATGACCCGACAAATTTGAAGCTTACGCAAGTTAAAGGAAGAAGATGATAATTTAATTTCATGCTTTACCTAAAGAACATGTTAATTAAAGCTCACAGACTTGATCAGGGTTTAACAAAGAGAACTAGACCATGCAAAAAGAGGAAAAGGGGAAAAAAGTGAAAAGAACAAAACAATTTCTCAAAGGAAATAAAGTTGTCAGATTAGCTCTCAAAATTATCCATAAATATTTAGTTTTATATAATAGGTTTAATAAAGAAGATAATTTAGAAGCCAATTTTTTAATCTTACTCTAATAAATTTTTAAATTTGTAAGAGAATAATTTACTTAAAAACAAAAGTTTACTTCTAGGCTCCACCAAACAACTTGAGGATTAACCATATTGAAAGAATCACTCAATTATTAAGATTCGAGAAGCTTAAGATCATGGCCAAAGAATAAAGTGATTAGGTACGTCACTCAAAGAAGCAGTGAACACGAAGGTCAAGACTTGTTCATTAATTTTCAAAATGCTCAAGCTGGTAGCCATGTATAAAGTGGTTAAATTCCATGGGTAAAGAACACGTTAATCAGAGATATGGGACTTGTGAAGGTTTAAAGAAGAGACAAAGATAAAGCAAAAATGAGACAAATATTAGCGCACAAAAAAAAAAAAAAGGCAAAGGAAATAAAGTGATTACATATATGACATATCAATGCTAGCACAAAACACAATAATATCAAAGACAAAAAAATCTCTTTCATACATATAAAAACGTGATAAAGGTTTAAAGAAGAGACATAGATAAAGTAGGAAAAAATAAAAAAGATTAGTGAACAAAAGAAAACAATTATTCAAAACAAACAAAGTAGCCATACATATCTGCTCTATGAAGAAAACCCATTAATTTAAAATCCCAGAAGTTTGATGGTTTAGATCTAAAGAGGAAAAGACGGACTAGTACTAATGCATTTCAAAAATAAAAACAAGTCTTAAATAGATATTAATTAGTATATTTTTTGATTTAACGCACTATACAATGTATTTATTAAAAAATTATTATTTTTTAATATGAAATTAAAAAATAAATAAATTTAAAAATATAATCACATATACTGCATACAAAAACTAGTTAAATTAATTATATTTATTTTATATTTGAATAATTAAACCAAACAAATATCAAAAAATATATTAATCGGAAGAACTGACCAATCATTTTCCATTTTAAAACATGACCTTATCAACCCAATTAATGATGGAATTGGAACCCATTTCACCTAGCTAATAAGCCAACTTTTTCACTGACTTGGGTTTCCAGCCATCGAGATCAATATGTTATACCAGTCCACCCCATTTTAGGGAAGCCAATCATTGGAAATGCATTAACTGCTTTTGAGCCCAAAGTGATTTGTATGATAAACCTTAGTCGTTGGGCTTCTGGGGGATCCGATTTGCACCAATGTTGGATTCTTTATTGATCCTCTTATGCTTTTGTTATATAAACAACAGTCTTTGGAAATACCCTTGTTCTTTAAACATGAAGATCATAGTTTTACTTTTATGCCATTTACATTTCCCTTATTGGAATCCTACGCTTTTGTTATTTAAGCAACAATCTTCGCAAATTTTTTTAGTCTTTTTATTTTTTATGAAATAAAGATATTTTATTAATCAAAAAGAGATTACATATAAATCCTATACAAAGGCTCCTAACGCTAAGTTGAAACCATAATCTATAGTATTAAATAGAGATAAAAACTATTCTCATAACAAATAAAGATAATTAAGGGTAGAGAACCATTTATATTTAATGATTCTTTTGTCAATCACCATAATGACATATATAATGATATAAAAGTAGAAAGAAAGCCACGTATTCGTGACTTTGAATTGTGCAAAGCTATATTTATGTTCCTGGGAGGGTTAGTTTTCTTGCTTGGAGAATGTTTTTGGATAAGCTTCCTTCAAAGGTAAATTTGGCAAAAGGACGCATACAAGTGGATGAGGATGATGGCAGATGGAGAAGATGTCAAGGGAGGATGAGGATGGAGAGATAGACCATTACCTGATAATTAAGGTGCAAATATGCATACCTCGAGCGGATGAAGTGCGTGGATTGGTGGGGTCTTGTAGGCTCACCGCCGAGCACAGTTCAGGATGCTTTCAAAGTGCTTGTGCTTACGTCAGCGGACGCAAAATCAAGAAAAGTCTGGGCATTCATTTTTTAAGTTGTGGCATGGTCGCAGACCCCCTGTGGCACAAGTGGCCACGCTGCCCTTGGGCAGCAGGTGGTCCGCACCCTCTTCAATCGTTCAAGCTATTCACTAACAGATACTAACACAGTTACTCACCAATTCCTACTGTCAAAAAAAAATAATAATAATAAAGAGAAAAAAAGTTGTGGCATGGTCAATATGGAATGCTAGGAATAGTTTGGTATTCAAGGATGATGATGCCATACAGTTGAGATCCTTTCTCTAGCTTAAGGGTAAAGTTTTGGGGGTTACATATTCTTTCTCCGAGTGGTGTTGCGTTTTCCTCATAACTGGATGCGCTCAAGCAAGTTCTTAGTGAACTGAACTGGATGCCTTAAAATGTTATTTTTAGCACAACGTAGGAAGTACGTAGGAATTAAGCATAAGAGCAGTGGACTTGTTTATGGGTAGGAATACCCTTGAACTCTAAAACAATAAAATTTATTTGGTTGATTAAAAAAAAAAAGAAAGAAAGAAAGCCTTAGTGCGCGTTCGGAGCTGCTAGACTTTCTTAATTGCCACACCAAGCTTAAGGGAAAGCAGCTAGGCAAACACCAGTTCCCATCCACTGAATGTTGAACAAGGATCTGCACCAGCCTAGTAGAGAGTTGAAGTCTCCTTTAAGGATTACCCAAAACACGCTTGAATTAACGTAGAGGAGAGTCACCACCACACTGTTGTTTTCTTCAATCTGATGCAAAACTTAGTGAAAACCACTGGGAGAGCTCAGACAAATTCTTTTGTTGTTTAAACCACATGAAATCATTAACAAAATTTTGGCATTAAAAAGAGGATTTAACATGATATTTGGTTCTATTCTCACTAGTATCTATTTTCACCCCCACAGACTATTTTCTCAATAAACCAAAAAGTGACCTAAGAGCTAGCTAACTAAATCAAATATTTTATGATTGCAACAGCGTATGGATTTAGTTGTCCTCAAATTAAACAGGTATAAGACAAGATTTCCCACACAATATATTCAACTAAGTTTGATATGGATTGATTTAAGGGGTTCATTCTATCCTTATACAATTAACCTAATCGAAGTATCATTAATATAATTGCAGCTTCTGTCTCCTAAGATAAAGTCCAATGATTTAAATGCAGACTTTCAATTAATACTGTTTTTTGGATAATTAACAAACTTGTGATTGTAATATTTATATTCATAATTAATTATCTCTCTTTTTTAGCATTAAATAGCACAGGGCTAGGTAACATATATTATTCGGTATAAGTTTTCTGGTTACATCAAGAAGCATGTGATTTTTAGTTAGCAAGTACTTGTAGTTGTAGGCCAGAAAACACAGTGGACAAGGTCAGGTTTTGGGATTAACTAAGTCTCAGGGATGATATTCTATTATGTTCTTATTCTTATATTGCAAAACAGTTATTTCTCTCTCCATAAATGTAGATTGAAAATTGTAAAAGTACATTGAGCATTCCTAGGATCTCTCTTCAGAATGAAAAACCCAATTTCAAAATCAAATGGCCTATTCAACACGACTTTGTTAAAGCATTTGAAGGGACAGTGTAGGAAACCGTACAAGATGAGCGATAACAGCGCCAGGCGTCACAACATGAGTACATTATGCCGTAGACACAGCTAAATATCATGTTTAATACCACATAGATTCAACCTAAACTTGGTACCTACATCCACTCCTCAAGGTTCTACTACTTGAAGTATGGATCTACCATTTGAAATCAAAGTTTAAGTCTGGAGTAGCATGTTGAAGAGGAAAAAGAAAAGGGTAAAACGTATCATTCATTCTCGAACTTATTCCACAGAGTATGCAGCCAAACTGTTCACTTTCTAAGAACACCTTACTTAAAAAATGATAATAATTCTTTTTCTTCCTAATCTATCTTTAACCCAAGGATCATTGCAGTCAAAGTCTTATTTCTCTCTTGTCAAATTCTTGAAAGAATTCCAATTAAAGATGAAAATTGTATATAATGAATTCAATCCTAATAACAACAACATGAGTATGATTATCGTAATGATCAAACGCCTGGGAGGTGATCATTGTAAATCTCCTAATTCAGCATGGATGAATTGCTTTTACCTCTTGACCAAAACTTTATATACCAGAAAAAGGGGAAAAAAAATATAAGATAATATCACCATAAATTGCTTACCACAACTCCACGAATTGTTCTACCTATGATAAATAAATCCATCCAATTGTTCAAAATCTTTTTCGTTTTCTAAGCAACAACGAAATCAAACATTCCATACACCATCCAACACTGATAACTTTTCCATAAAAAGGCAATGAAAATTGATAGAATTTCTGTAAAAGAAAAAGCAAGATTAAAGTAACTAACAATAGAAACAAATATATTATTCATGCAATAATATGATCATGAAATATAATAAGATAAAGAATGGGTGATCGGAGTAATGCAAAAGCTAACCTGCAATATTTTATGGTTCCGTTCAGGTCCCTTCTTTCCCTTTCCCTCCTCTCCCTCCAGAAATTTGTTCGGAATGTCTCCCTGCAACATTTTAACAAAAATTCGATCTCCACCCTAGTGGATAGTGGAGGGAGAGCTCCTCTTTCTGTCTCTTCTATGTTTTCTTCCTCCTTTTTCCTATTTAACTTTTGCCCTGTTTAGCAATAGAGTTTCCACTGTAAAACAAAACTTTGGATCCC